AAAAACTCCCGCAGTTGATGAGTATTTTGATATATCATTTGAATTTCTAGACCGAATACATTTCGAGATATTCGAGTTTACTTTTGTATAGTCGATTAATCTCCACTCTGTATACTGTGTATACGTAAAGAGTAAAAATAGGTGCCACAGATAGGTATTAAAACTATTACTTTATGAGTAAAATGTATAACAACCATGATTGTTTTGAGCTAAAATATTAAATATAATAAAAATTAATTGCAAATTAAAATAAATAAGAATATTGATGATAATTATATACGACATTTGTAACATTCAATATATTTGAATATTGGATATTTTTGATAACTTTATTGCTAAAATTTTAAGCTTTAGCATTAAGTTTAAGCAAAATACTATTTTTTAAAAACAATTTCATAATCATTTGGTACTAAAAAAGCGAGATTTTGGTCGACCGCCGGCTCTAACGTATGGGGCGTACGGTATCTGTCGGCCAGTCTTATCGGGTGATCGCGTGTTAACTGCAAGAGTCGGACCAAAAACAAAAACAATACATTTGTGGCCATCGCTTCTCCGAGACATACACGACGTCCGGCGCCAAAGGGCATAAAAGCCGGCTGACGCACAGTTACAAAATGTCCATGATCATCTAGAAAACGACCCGGCTTAAACTCGCTACACCGAGGCCAGTATTGGTCGCTCATAAGCATATTATAAGTGTGTTGTATAACCATTGTATTGGCGGCTATTGTATATTTACCAGCTATTGTTAGATTGCAAATAAATATACAGTCATTAATCGTATGTATGATATATTGTGGTCATTATATACCGATCAAAGTGTCGGATAGTGTGACGCGCGGAGAGCCGATTGGACCGGCATTACGATAGCGTAATGTCTCTGAGAGAAACGCCTGCACGCAATGCATACGCGGTTTATCAGCCAAAGTGGCCACTCTATGGCCCAACACCTCATCAATCTCTACCATCATCTTTCTCTGCCAGTCCTCATAGTATGCGACCAATAATAACATCCATTTGGTGCTCGTGTATGAGGTCTCAGCGCCCGCTTTACAGCAAAATGGTTAGCATGTTTAATAAATAATCATTTGTTTCATTTTAATTATTGTCACATAAAAAGTAATATATAATTAGGACTGAAAATGTATGTGGAATATTCAAATGAATGTTTCATTTAAGAGCGTCCTATTTAAATGGACAGTGAGATCAACTAATTTAAATAATATCATCTTATAGATAATGTATAATAATAATTATTAAGCGCTTAAAATTCGGCGAATGACCATATTGTCTAATTATAATTAGTAACCTTAGTTGCGGGTATTCAGATAAAACTTTTGAATTTAGCGCTTATTGACTGAATTGAAATCCATTCTTATGAATAGAGTACATTTTGCTCATTTTATCGAGTAATGTTATAGTGAATGTTTTATATGAGTAATTAACGCATTCCTAATTGGCCAACTGATAATCAGTTGACAAATTAAAATTCATGTTACAATTAATGTAAATAAAACTAATGAGTATTGGTCGATGAATAATTTTTTAAGTTGCGTTGATTAAGTCAAATTTACCAAGGTGAGTCAAAAATTACATTGGACTTCAATACTAAAGAGGACTGTCTTTCAACTTGATGGAGAAGGAGTTGGGTCGCTATGAGTTAATAGTTTATTATTTGATGTTTGTGTTTAGGATTTCATTTATATTTGTAATTTTTAGTATTACTGTATTTTCAATAAAAAAAAGTTTATATGAGTAAATAATTATATTATTAAATAAACTATTAATTACTCATATAAAACATTCACTAGACACTAAAAACATTCACATTCTTTAGACTAAATTTTCAAACTTTATTCTAAGTTTTAGAAAAATGTGAAATTTTCATGTTTTTTAGATATACAGTACAGTGCAACCTCTCTTGGGGCAACTTCTCTTGGCCGAACACATTCTTATACGGAACGGAATTTAAATATATTTTGGAGTTTCTATACCTATAACAGAACCTCATAATATATAACCTTTAATATATAACTAGCATATCATCTAAAACAATTTAAAAAAGTTATCTTGTTTTCGAAATATTTTAGATTTAGTAAAAATTTTACAAAATTACTAAAAATAGTGTTATGTATAGTGAGAATATTTTACCCATAAACAGGTCCATAAATGTGGCCGCGATATGTTTGTCAGTCAGCCACTGGAGCCCCGGCCGGCACTCGGCCTCTCCCTTACGTCTGGCGCCGATAAACATATCACAAACGTCTCGGCAAACGCTCTTATCGTAAGTGTTTTCGTGTTCTTTCAATTGGGTTAACGAATATTCAAAGCATAGTTTATAATAGCGGCGAAGTTTTGTCAACGGGTCGGACATAAATGGTCGACAAATGGGTATATATTCATAAATTACATAATTATTATGTATATCGTGCGACCAGAAGGTGGCCATGTATTTGAACGAGGTCCAATATTCCTGGCGTAACCTGGACAAATTAAAAATTTATTAATTTTTTATAGTAATTATAATTTTAATATTTACTTATATTTGAATACTGTCATCGAAAGTGTGTTTAAAATAGTGTCAAATATATACTTTTTCGGATTAAACGGTTGATTAATGCCTTCTTTAACCATCATTTGTGAAGTGATGTCCGAAACCAATGCATTCACTGTATCCGTGAAATCCGTGGATTTTGCGAATTGTCTGTATATAACAATGTAACAATCGATAAAACAAATATTTAATTTCAACAAGTAACATTACCTGACAATCATGTGGGTCACATTGCGCAAACCTTCCCAACTCGGTAGGTGCGAGTTCAGCGCCAGATCCCTGTGATCGGCGTTGCTAAATATATTTGCTGTCAACACAATTTCATATTTATAATTATCATAAATATATCAAGTTTTATATATTTGGGGAGAGAGAGATTAAATTACCAATAATGGTGTCCATCCGTCCCATGAATTCTGGCCGAGAAAAAGCCTCTTTGACGACATGGGGATCGCCGACAAACACAACGGGTTTGGGTCCGACCCATACCGTCACTACCGGACCGTATTTGTTGTACAGCTCTCGGAAGTGTTGATTCCAATGCACTTTTATATTGCGAAACACTTTATTGTAATATTTAATTAGACTTTTAACTCAATATAATTTATATCAATTTTATAATTACGTAATATATTGCCAATCAATGGCAGAGGCGTAGGACCGGGCGGATAGTGGCGTAGATTGGCGTAGAAATGTACCAGGTAATAAATCATCAATCCCATTATTGTTGTTATTAATAACGATATCGATAAAATATCTCGATTAAATACCAACAACATGATTGTGCTAACCATTTTAATATTAAATATGTTTTTGTAAAATAGGTTTTAAATAAGTGACTTAACCGTCTGTTAATTGTAATAATGATCTTTGGTCAGGGCCTTGAGTATGCCAAGATGATGCATAGGATTAGTATTAGCCCCATAGACTTAGCATTACTAATAGAGGGGGGAGGGAGGAGGGCCTCACAATCCTATAAACCACATTCTTCATACACAATAATCGCGTGTTTATGCGCACAAGTTGGTTATCCAGCAATACATCGTTTATTAGGGACTGCATTGACATACACTACAACCTCAGTACACAAACGCTTTTTAGTTAAGACAAGTATTGGATAACATTTGTTGATTAATTAATTTCATTCATTACAATTGTTTACTAAAAACACAAAACAAAAATTTTTGTTACAGTTTTTTACAGCTTTTTCCATATTATTTAACACAGTATTTAAGTGCTGAGGTTATAGTGTATGTCAATGTAGCCCCCACTCAGACTTTGGTCAGGGCCTTGGGTATGTCTAGGAGGGATGGGTACTTTGGTCAGGGTTTTGGGTATGTCTAGGAGGGATGGGTACTTTAGTCAGGGCCTTGGGTATGTCTAGGAGAGATGGGTACTTTGGTCAGGGCTTTGGGTATACCTAGGAGGGATGAGAACATTGGCTTGGTAAGCTTCTTAGCTTACAATACGTTTAGTAAACTAATTAATTCATAAAAACAATTAAAACCACAAAAATGATATTCAATTCAAATTTGCATTTAAAGAGCGAATCAATGAAATGCCACAAAACTATGGCTTTTTATAGTGTATTGAATGAGACTTACGTCCAATTGTTTGCTTCTCATCCCTCTCTCTCTCTCTCTCTCTCTCTCTCTCTCTCTCTCTCT